TGCCACGGCATTGAGTTGTTGTTGGTGTGTGAATGCATGTGTTGAATGATTAAAGTGCATGTGGGTGAATATGTAGCTGAAATGATGAAGTAGGAAGGTGGAAATGCATGTGAAATGCTGGAAAGGGATTGGGATACACGGCACAAGGGTGAATGGTGCTGTTTTGTGTGTGAATGGTTGTTGTTTTGCATGTGAAGTGTGTGTGAATGTATGTGGGTTAAATGATTAAAGGGGGTGGAAGATGGCTGAATGATGGATTGAATAATGAGGCTCTAGGGTGGAATAAATGGTGATGCATGAGATGGAATGATGAATGAATGGAATGAAGTGTGTATGCACGGTTTTGGTGTGGAGAAAAGGGGTGAATGTGTGGCTGATTTGTGGTTTAATTAATGAAAGAATAAAGGGTGCATGTTTGAAGGATTAAAGGGACATGTGGGGTGTAATGCATGTGGCTTGTTTGTGGTGAGTGAATGTGCACGGCAAGGGGAAGATTTCTTGATGGTTTTGGGGTTGTGATGCATGTGAATGCATGTGAATGGTGGGGACAAAGGGGGAAACAAGGCACAAGGGTGCTTGAGTGAATGATTGAATGTGCATGTGGGTGAATGTGAAGAGAATACCATTTGCACGGCAAGGTGGAGTGGTTTTGGAAGAAAGGTGGATGAATGTGCATGTGGATTAGGTTGTGAAAGCATGTGAATGCATGTGTTAGGTTGTTGTTGTTGTGATAAGTGATAAGTGTATGATATGATAAGTGAATGATATGATAAGTGAATGGTTTGATAAGTGATAAATGAATGATATATGGTGATAAATGAATGATATGTGGTGAGTGATAAGTGAATGGAAGTGATAAGTGATAAATGGACTAGTTTAAAGGGCTAGGGTTTAAGTACATAGAATGGGCCTAAAATAGGTTGGTTTGCATGGCATAATATGTTTGATTGGGCTAGAGGTTTTCCATGGCTCAAAGGATTTGTTTGATTGGGCTAGGCCCTTTGTTTGATGTCCCCAAAGAGCATACAAGGCTTCAATTTCATCCATCCTCTTTGCTCCATGATTAAGCTATCCAATCCATGCCCAAAAGTGCCCCAAATAGCCTCAAAATGCACTTTCTTGCTCCCTAAGCCCTTAGAACCTGAAAACACACAAAAGAAGCATAAAGGACTAAAATAACTAGAGAAACATAACGTAAATGCACGAGAACAAGCCATTTAAGTCGCATGAATATGCTCCTATCATCTACTAATCTGCAGCCCAACATTGATCAGCAAGTCGTGCACTCTCCAAGCTTTCCCATGCCTACATTAGTCCATCCCAAGGTCACTTATCCTCGCACTGGCCACTTCAAACCCAAACAATTCAACGATGGCACCATCTACCATCTGCTTCCTCACACATTCACCGTCTCTACTTCTGATCTGCCCAAGCCTACTTATTTTACGCAGGCGTTTCGCCTCCCTGAATAGCGTGCTGCAATGGTAGATGAATTTAATGCCTTGCTTAAAAATGGTACATGGTCTCTTGTTCTATCACATCCCTCTTAAAATTTAGTTGGTTGCAAATGGGTTTTTCGTATTAAGCGTCATGCAAGTGGTTATATTAAGAGCTACAAGGCTCGTATAGTTGTCATGGGCTTTCAATAACATTATGGCTTGATTATGATGAGACGTTTAGTCTAGTTGTCAAGCCAGCTACTATTCATCTTGTACGCAGTTTATCAATCACAAATGGTTGGTCCATTCATCAACTGGATGTCAAAAATGCATTCTTACATGATCACTTACAAAATGATGTTTTTATGGTCCAACCCACAAGTTTATGGATCCTAATTGCCCTCATCATGTCTGTAAGTTACACAAGGCACTCTATGGTCTCAAACAAGCTCCTGGTGCTTGGTTTCACCGCTTTAGTAATTTTATACTTCGTCATGGTTTTGTACAAAGCTTGGCCGATCCCTCCCTCTTTACCTTTCACCATGGTACTACTCATCTTATCTTATTACTTTATGTGTATGATATTATTTTAATTGGGAATAACTTTGTGGCTTTGCAGCATTTGATGTAAGGATTTTGGTCTGCTTCATTATTTTTTGGCCATTGAGGTCCGACCTACTTATGTTGGTATTGATCTTTCTCAAACTAAATATGCTCTCAACTTGCTTAAGCGGACAAGTATGATTAATTGTAAACCATGCAGTACTCTGATTGCCTCTCATGCACAGTTATCTAATGATGATGGTACTCCGCTCTCTAATCATTCGAAATTTCATCATCTATCGGGATCTCTATAGTATCTTACCTTACTCGTCCAGATCTTGCTTATGCGGTCAATCTTCTTTCTCAATTCATGTCTCATCCTACTCACGCACATCTGATTGCGGTAAAACTTATACGTTTTCTCCGGTATGGTAAGGTGACTATTGACCATGGATTACTTTTCAGCACTCTTCTATTCCTCTTACCCTTTATGGCTATTCCAATGTTGATTGGCTGGGGGTCCGGACACTCGTTGCTCCACTTTCGAATTTCTTATTTTTCATGGGCCTAATTTAATTTCTTGGAGTTCCACCAAGCAACCGGCAGTCTTCCATTCTAGCATTAAATCCGATTATAGGGTTTTGGCTCATGCTTGTACTAAAATGATTTGGCTTTCCTATGTTCTTTGCGAGCTTCGTCATCCGGTATGTTCACCTATTTTCTTATTCAGTGATAATTTGAGCACTACCTACATGGTTGCAAATTCGGTTTTTCATGCTCGAACGAAGCACTTTGAGTTAGATTATCACTTTGTTAGTTAACATGTAAAAATCGGTACCCATAAGGTGCAATTTATTCCTTCTATCAACCAACCTGTGGATGTTCTTACCAAGAGGCTTCCATCACCATGCTTCGCACTCTTGAGGTCCAAACTTGTCACCATGCTGTAGGAGAATCTGTTTATCATTATGTTGGGCTAGGTCTTGTAAACCCTACAGGCTTAGGATTACTTATATCTCTATGATCTTCCTCATGTTTAGGCGGAAGTAGCTCATCATCATCATCATAAGGTTGGAACTCTTGATCTGTCATGGAATGATTCCTAATCAAATTGTGTAAGGTCATTGAAGAAACAACAATTTGTACCTGTTTTTCAAAAGGAAGTTACGCATGAGACGAATTATTGTCCATTTATTTTTTCCAAACACCAAAAGTTCTTTCTATTGTGCATCTTAGGGATGAATGCCTCTGATTAAATATCTCTTTTTTCCCTCTTGGCTAATTTCCATGTCGAAATTCAGGAAGATTGCCATGGATATGAGATGATAATTTCTCACTCACTTTTTTCTCCCACCACCAATCACTTGCAATGATAGTTTGCTTCACAAGATCCCATCATAAGCCAGTTTCTTTTCCAACTAATGATGCCCACATTTGCCACTCTTTCTTAAGGGTTGTCCATTTGTTCTTGAGTTGTTTATGAACATATGACCTTTGAGTAAGGTCATTAAATTTTTTTAATAACATTTTTCCATCCAATCCTATTAAGATGACCACCTATTTGATTTCCGGCTAATGTCTTAGCTACACAAACACTTGTAAATATCTCAACCCTTGCATTATCCCACATTGCCTTGCTCTTTTTTTTTTTTTTTTTTTTTTTTGTCTTACTTTCTCCACAATCTTGTATACCTTCCTTTAACTGTATCCTTAGACATATATATAAAGAGAAATAGAACAAAAAAACCATAGCACGTAATAAGAGTATACACCACTACTTACGTCCTAGCTAACAACACGAAAGTAAATTAAAAGCAATAATGCAAGATTTGTAACTAGTATTTGTTATATATAATAATCCAGTACATCGTTGCTTCATCACTGCAATGCGCCACTGCTTATACCATTGCTAATACCACTGCATATTTATCTAGTATTTGTATAGATAATGCAGGATATGTAACCATTAACAATAAATTCATTAGTGTTGCTTTATATTGTCATTGGAAGTTAATTTACTATTAGTAGTTTCTACAATCGTTAATGCGTCATCAAATCTCGACAGCAATACAAGCCTTCAAACATGAAGGTTTTTGAGTAACCTGATTAGAAATATTTGACTTGCTCAAGTGCATGTAGTATTTACAAATTAATTTTCGAAGCAAACTAAGTTGTAAATATATGTTCACAATGATACCTACCAAAACTAGATGACCCGCCCCTACCTAGAGTTACTCTGAAGAATGCAGAAAATACCATTGGAATGTCAATGAACGATCACTAAACCTTAAAATTATTTTCGTGTAGTTCAAAATTCACAACAATTTTGATAAAAATAACATATATCAACAATCAAATTGACACACTACATACAAATTTTAAGATAAGAAATAGCTAACATACCTCCACAAGAATTTCAGGTGATGAAGATGCAGAGAGATTTGGGGACGATGGAGAGGAAGAGATGGAGACCAAGATGACTTCTCCAGCCACCAAAATAATATGAAAATAAAAGACTTTAGGGTTTTTAACGTACAAACCTAGAAAAAATTGGTGATGGCAATTTTGATGTTTTTTTCCAAGTGTAATGGCATTTTAGACTTTGCAAATTAAAAAATAGGGATAATTCAGGAATTGAAAAAAATTCATTAAAGGGAGTAAAATGCTTCCCTTGTTTTCTCCACGTAGCACTTTTAGGAGGAAGCACCTCCTAGATGCTTCTTAGAAAAAGCTTCTTAGTGCTTCTACTTCTAACTAAAAGTACTTTTAAAATATTTGCCAAACAACCATTTTTAAAAACTAAAGCGCTTTTACTCATTAGGAAGCGCTTTTGACTCTTTCAAAAACACAACCAAACGAGCTCTAAAGCAATGTAAAAGTCAGCTTATTTTGTTCCAAAACGCCAAACATTCTTCGTCCGTATCATTTTGGGCCACCAGAAGACGGTGCCATGAAAATTCTTCATGCTGCAACGATTGCAATCTGCATCGAACCCTCCAACGTTCGGGTTTGTTTGTATTAATCTTCCCCTTCTTCCCTCTCCCTAGGGACAGCTCCAAAGTGGCTTATCAAGAGGTCAACAACCAGGGGCACCAAGTCCTTGCAAGGGACACTCTTCTTATAAACATCTCCCAAATGTGAGTCACTCCCTATTCTTCCTCCCAAGAAAACATCAGCCCCTTCACAAGGCTTCCCATTCTCATCCCTTGCCATGCACCCCATGAAACCAATATCCGCCACTTGCACCTGTGCACAGGTATTCGGACACCCTGTCCAATGCATCCTCACCGGTCGAGTCACTGCCACATGCCTTTCCACCTCCTCAGTCACCTTCAAGGCCCTTGCTTTTGTCTCGATGATTGCTTGCCCACAGAACTGGTTACCAGTGCAGGCCACCAATCCTCTCATGAGAATTGAAGGTTTGGGGGAATACGTATTTTGCAAAAGAGGCTCTTTAAGTAATGCTTCAATTCTTGAATTCTCTACATTCGGGAGGATTATGTTTTGCTCCACAGTGAGCCGGAGTTCCCCTGTGCCATACTCATCGGCTAAACGAGCTAGCTCATCCATGTCATCTGCTTGGAGCCGGCCTACAGGAATGTGAAGTCCCACATAGCTTAAACCTTCTTGTTTCTGCGGATGGACACCCATATAATCTCTCCTTTCCCATTGCTTCTTAACCAGATCTTCAGAAGCCGCTCTCTCCAGGTCTTCGAAAGGCATTCTCTTCACAACCTCTGATCTAAATCCTTCTATGCCCTGCATTCGTACAATATTCAAAAACTGTCAGGCAAATGCTATAACAAAAATTTTTGAGTTCGGCAATATACATTTAGTGCACAATAGAAATTTTGTATAATGTAGATCTTCGAAATTTTGTGAGGGTTTTCTGTGTAAATTAGAAACGTAAAATAGAAACATTGTACACCAAATTCAGTAACGTGGGAGATTACACTTGTTACCGCATATTAAAACTAGTATTATTATAATCCGGATAACAAGTACTTACTAGTTCATCAATCAACCACATCATTCTTGTTTTTTGTCGGTTCCCTCTGAAGCCAAGGTCTCTATAGGCCTCTAGTATTGCTTTGCAAACTGGGATCACATCATCCGCGGAGACCCAGGCATCCAGAGGGACCGCCTCTGTGCATCGCTTGGGACTGAAGAATCCTCCAACGAGCAAATTGAATCCGAACCTGCCATCCTTTGTTGCAGGCATGTAAGCAAGATCGTTGATGTGGGGATGCTCGAAAAGGTCATGAGTGCCCACCACAGCCACATTCCACTTTCTTGGCCTGCTCAGATGAAAACCAAACTTAGGAAACCAAGTATTTCTACTCATATAAAAATTAAGCCCCTAATTGTATGCAAAGAACGGAACAGTGTTTTCAGCATATGCTGGAGCCAAAACACTTACAAGTTTGTGACATTTGGATTTCCAAGTGAATTCCCAGTGATATATTGAGACAACAAGTTTGTGTAAGGTCTTGTATCGACAATCTCAAGTGGGTCAATGCCTGCAAGAGGATTTCCAACTGGATTTCTCACATTGTCCATGCCACTCTGCAGACTCGTCAATCCAACTTCAGCAAGACCTTTCAAAATTTCCGGCACATCAGGCAGTACTACTCCGCGGATTTGCCAATTTTGCCTTGTTGTGACATCCGCACAGCCATCCTTGCCATATTTTCTTATCACACTGGCAAGATATCTCGTTTGTGCACTTGTTGTGACACCATTTGGTAGCTTCAATCTCATCATAAATCTACCATCTGGTCAAGAAAATTTGATTAAGAACATATGGAAACCATGAGATGCTTGATGGGTGTAATTAAAAGATGTCAAACAATCTGCCAATCTTCTTGTCGGACTTTCAACTTCGCACATTAATTAAATGAATTCATGTTCTAAGGTGCGATCCTTATTAATAATCTAACAACATAACATGGCAATATCGACAAAAAAGACCATTACCCCTACGAATATTTGAACTAATTTGCTGAACTGAGTCATTCAAATCATAAAACAATAAGTAGATGTAAAAAATGAATAAAAAGAACAAATATATCAAACTAACTTACAATGGTGCTTTCTCCTGTGGAAAAGCCCAAGCCACTTGAGCCTGACATCGATATCATCCCTGGTATCCTTAGCCTTGTCAAGTTCCTCAAAAGAGATCTTGGCAACTTCTTCAATCCCACCTTCCATGAAAAGCTTCATAGGCTCCCTCTCAATCTTCATCTTCTCCTGAACATTAATCCCTCCTCTAAACTTCTCCTTCAAAACCCAGTACCCATCTCTCTCCTCCACTCTAGGTTCCAGCCTCGCCGCCTCCACCTCCGCAGAAACCGGCACCACGGGGGTGGTGGCAGCTGCCAGCCTTGTTGCCCTGCAGCAGGGAGCTGCTGGGGACAGGGGAGGGGATAGGAATGGAACAGAGAGGGATAGTGACATGGCTGATAGTACTAGTAGTATGCTGCCGCAGGTAATGATAGCAAAGAGCTGAAGGTTTTGGTGGTGGTGGTGGTGGTGAAGTGGGAATTGACAGAGAGAAGAGGAGGGTGTTCATTTTTGTAGGTGAGGGGTGTAGGATCAGCGGTGGCTGGTGAGGACCTTAGGAGGAGGGAGAGGTTCATTTTTTTGTTGAGAGTGGACTCTTGGGTGGTGCCAAGGGTCATCTGTGTTTTGGGTTTGTGTTCACCAATTTGTTTCTGTTTTGTTTTTTCATACCAAATGCCAATTGGATAATGGGGGGCTGCCAAGCATGTGCCACGTTATGGAGATGTGTTTATCAAACTTATTTTTCCATGCTCTTCTTAAGTTTAAGTCGGTCAAAGCGGACGTTTCATATCATGTTGGAAAAGATCAGCCATTGTGGATGGCGAAGTATGAAATTTGCAAATTGTCTTAAACCTTTCAAAAATGCATAATCTCTGCCAATGTGTACGTAAGTGGGGAGAAATAGCTCGAATTTGACACTTTCAGGAGTAAAGTGAGACAAATTCAATTTTAGGCAATAAAGGGAGACTAAAGACTAAAAAACTAAGGCTTCTAAAAACTAATTACGACATTACTGCAAATGTGAATTGTTCTAGTGGTTAGGGCCTTTATCTTTAACTCAATGTGTCTCAAATACTTAAACATGGTAATTTCCTGCACGACTCTATAACCTAACACGAAAGGACTTGAAAATAACGGGTCTCACATCAACACACTAACTAATCAGATCATTCACCTGATAAGATACGGGTTCTTAACATATTTACTCGCAAGTAATCTCTTAAGAAAAAAATTAGTTTGATAATTTTAAACTACTGAATAAATCTTACTAATTATTAAATAGTTATAGTAACTGCGTAGGTGAGATTAAAAAATTCCTAAGCACATTAAAAAAACCAAGGCCGTTAAAAATACCAAATCATATTAAAAAAATACATTATAATTACTTTACAAGCGTGAAAAATGTGAAAAAAAAATTATATATATATATATATATGCAAACACTCGCATCTCTACGGTTTGGCGATGGGTACATCATCTTTTGGATTTTTAAAACCCTACAAAACCTCGTGAACAATATTTTTAAGGGAGGGCAAAATAAATAAAAATTCATAATAATTAATGTTCTCCACAAAATATGAATTAATATTTATGTAACAATGTGATATGTAAATACTAATTAGTTTTTTCATTTGATTAGTTATTGAATTAAAATATATTTTTTTTAACGAGTAACAAGTCGAGTCATATTACCTGTTAATATTAATAGTTCGGATCGAGTCATATTACCCTTCTTTTAATGAGTATTATACAACACGCCACGTCAAAATATTGGTTATGTCACAAAAACAACATGAATGTCAAATCTATGAATATACTACTAAGAAAATTACGACATTACCAATATTATTATATTTTCTAATTAATTAGGTTTTTTCCCTTTAGATGAAAGAGAACTCGTAATTTAATGGTTGAATTTGTATTTGGCTTATGTCGCTTCAAGCAGCAAGACTCCAAACACAGTTCATACTTGGAAGGCCAAAGCCTGAAAGGTCACCTTTCCATACCTCAGCCTCCTCTCTGAGGCATTTTATCAAAACACTTGCCCCCTTACCAATAAAAAAACCTTAGAGCAACTATTAAACAATTGAGCAAGTTGATGAGTGAAGAAGACGGCAATTTTTAGTTTGATATATAATTAGAGAGATCATATTCACACAACCCAAATTACTTCTTTCGCATTCTTTTAATTTTTTAATATTTTTTACACACCACTAACACTTGATAAGAAAAATATTAAAAAATTAAAAATATGTGGGAGAAGTAATTTAAGGTGTGTGAATATAATCTCCCAAATAGTTAATTTACTATTTGGTTTTATCCAAATTCCCCTTCCTTCCACTCCATCCCACCCCAACCCAGTCCCTCCTTTGCAAAATATCATTGTATTGAGAAAGAATATGCTTGCCACTTGGCAATATGATCTACTTGTACTCCTCTTCACTTATAAGGAGATGTCTTAAATTCGAATATTGTGGATGGTGAGTTCACAACTAATTTATTGCCTCATCCCCTAGTGTAAGTATATCGTTGTATAAAAAAAATATATCACTTATAAATTTTCTTCAGTGTTTTGATTAAGTTGTAGCGCTATCAAAATCATACCTAAATGTGGCTCAATTTTTTAAGACTAGTCTGAAAATGTTTTTAAAATGATTGAAAACGTTTTTTATGACTAATATTAGAACTACTTCCGAACCAACCTTAATATGATCAATATATACTTATTGTTATGTACAATATCACCACTAGAAATCAAAAACGAAAAGGATAGTTCAGTCATGTTTGTGCCATAAATATAAATAAGGCTTAATATGGGACGACCCTCTCTGAAGCAGCCAAGGAACACTCCATACGATCGTTGAGATCTAAAATTTTTACAACTTTGCCACCTTTATGGTATTATTTGGTTGACGTGCAATTCTAACAACCATGATCACCACAACAATGGCCTCGGTGGGTTCCTCTGGCATTATCTTGCCCTATATGGCATGAGTTTTGTTAGGGTTTACTGCTTTCTTTACATTTCAGAGTTTATTTACTTTTCAAGCCATGTGGATTGGCTCATCAGCCTAAATCTTTTTTGTAGGTTATTGTAATCTCGATTTCGTCATGAAATGGTTATAGTCAACTTCTTGTTTCTATTTCCATTTCTACTTTCATTTTCAATTATAACTTACGCAAGCACTTATTTCACACTGGATTTCAAGTCCTCATTTGGTCAAGGCATAAAAAGAACTTAATTGAATCAGCGTCTCATTCAGTGCACAATCTTTTGGGAAGTCAGATCTAAGCCCAAACACAACACAACTCTACTCTCACCACTGTCTGTTGGTATCCTCTAATGGTATGCCTATTTCCTCTCTCTCAAATCATCTGGTAGCACTAAAACCGAAAGCAACACTCGGGACAAATACGTGTTGAACTCAGTCAAGCTAGCTCTGTCCGAGTTTTGGCACCAACAACTCTAAAAAATTTTACTATATACGGTTTAAGTTGAAAGTTTTTAATTTTGAGTCTTAGGAACACCGTGTGAGTGTTTTCTACTAAAATGGTAAACAAATAAAACACAATTGCGATTAAGCATCGTCATACTTGGTGGCCAATTTCTTTTTATGATATTAACAGTCTTTACGTCACATAGATTAATAAGAACAAATTATAATTTTTAATCGAATTAAGATCATAGATGATATTAGAGTAACATTTGTGTGAAGGGGCATTTATGAATGAGAATGATATGATTTTATAAGTTTTATTCGAACATCAACTTGATATTAGAGTAACATTTGTGTGAGGGGCATTCATAAATGAGAATGATGTGAGTGTTTAGATATATATGTTCAGAACGAAGATGAGCAGTTGTGAGTTATTTCGGGGTCTAAATGTGTGAGGTATTATTTTATTATAGCTACTAATGCTTCAAAAATTGTTTGCTTATTAAGATATTGGGGGAAACTATTACCATATAATTAATTATTTTAAAATACAAACAGAAACTCTACAGTGTTTGATTCATTTGTAACACTACCTAACTCATGGTTAGATGTGGTTCAGTTTTTTAATATGATCACAATAAATATACTTAAATTTGCTTCTTAGAAGAAGGAAAACAAAGAGTCACTCTTGTTTGGGCTGAGAATTATTTAGACCTAGTTTAATTAGGCCCAGGCACTTTGGAAAACACTAAACCCTTGTTGGGTATTTATTTTTTACTAAAGTGCAGTTCTACGACCTAAATACCTTCAAAATGTTATGACGTGGGAGCTAGTGGACAACAAGTTTACGGTGGTTTGCTACATTTCTTGGTGTAGTCGATTTCATTAGTAGTCATGTAACGTTATTCCCTCCAAAGCTAGTTCATATATTGTAACGAGCCAAAGAGTGCCTGTCTGGCAACAAAATTTGCCCGACAAGGTTGAAACTATGCTCGATCCTTCACATTTGCATTCAGTTGTATCACTTACTGCTTTCTCAATGCTTTACAGTGTCATTTGAATTTATTTCTAACGTTTGCTAGGAGTTTTTCATTTCAAGTTATTACTTATTTCCTTGCAGTTTACTTTGCTTTTTCTTACCGTTCAATTAACCTTAATAAACTGTTGTTTTTAATAAACTTACACCTTCTCAAGAACTGGCATACAATGCAAATTAAAAGTCCTTGACCACAAAGCAGAGAAAAGAACTTGTTATGGATTTAACTCATCCATAAACAATTCTTTAAACAAAGAAGTTTAAGTAACTTGTGGCACAAGTATTCAATCTGATCATGACTAAATAACTTTGATATGTTGGTCTAAGCCAACAATGGCACGCTCAGCATCCCATATGTTGGTCTAAGCCAACAATGGTAGGCTCATGTCGATGGTCACGCCGTCGCAGCGGACGAGCAGTGCTGGCCGCCTTAAATCGTAATTCCCACCGAGTGGCGGGTAGAATCCTTTGCAGAGGACTTAAATATGCAACAGGGTATTGTAAGTGGCAGAGTGGCCTTGCTGCCACGATCCACTGAGATTTAGCCCTGCGTCGCTTGGATTCGTCCCTCCCCCTTTCCTCCCCCCCTCTTCTCAATTTACTCATGTTTCGAGAGGCGAGGCTATTAGTTGACAATTAGGCAAAAATTCCTAACACTTTGGCATGTCAGGACTTTTAACTCTGCCACGTTTTTATTCAAAGTCATGTCGGGACTTTAACTTTGCTGTGTATTTTGACGTATAGCCTTGCTTTATGTCAACAACAAGCGAGGCTAGTACAACCCATGTGATTTCTGTTGGTCTAAACCAACAGTGGCACGCCCAACATCCGTTAGCTTTGATACAGAGCCTGAGAGCCTACCAAAGGCTCCGCAAAGGCATCTTTCAAAACCTATCCCGAAGCCAAACAGCTCTTGTTTA